AAAAAAATAATAAAAAAAAATAAAATTTGCCAGACCACGGGTGTATCTTCCCCAGGAAGCTGCACAAACAAAAATAAAATAAAAAAAAGAAGTAAATAGAAATGCACAAAAATGCTATATTATATTATATAATTTATATACCTTCCCAAGCGTGTATCTTCCCCAGGAAGCTGAACAAACAAAACAAAATAAAAAAAGACATAAACAGATCAGAGGAGATGAACCTGTATCTTTCCCAAGAAGCAACACTTCGGTTGAAGACGTAAACAGATCAGAGGTAGCACTTAAATTTTGTGTTGAAGAACAAAGGGGCAGCAAGAGAGTTACTGATTTCAACACAGAACAGAGGCAGCCTTGAAGATTCAACACAGGTTCATCTCCTCCCTCTTCCCTCTTCTCTCTTCTCTCTTCTCTCTCTCTATTTCTCACTCATATCATCCGTATTTCAGATCTAAAAATTTGTGGATGGATACGCCTCATCTCGAAGTGGTTCATGTGCTGTAAAGACAAAAGAGAAAAGTAATTGAACCAGTGCTGTAAAGACAAAAGACAAAAGAGAAAAGTGAAGATTGAACCAGTGCTTTGCTCTTTTGTCTTTTGTCTTTACAGCACTGGTTCAATTACTTTTCTCTTTTGTCTTTACAGCACATGAACCACCTCGAGGTGAGGCGTATCCATCCACAAATTTTTAGATCTGAAATACGGATGATATGAGTGAGAAATAGAGAGAGAGAGAGAAGAGAGAAGAGGGAAGAGAGAGGAGATGAACCTGTGTTGAATCTTCAAGGCTGTCTCTGTTCTGTGTTGAAATCAGTGACTCTCCAACTGTCCCTTTGTTCTTCAACACAAAATTTAAGTGCTGCCTCTGATCTGTTTACGTCTTCAACCGAAGTGCTGCTTCTTGGGGAAGATACAGGTTCATCTCCTCTGATTTGTTTACGTTTTTTTTTATTTTGTTTTGTTTGTTCAGCTTCCTGGGGAAGGTACACCCTTGGGAAGGTATATAAATTATATAATATAATATAGCATTTCTGTGCATTTCTGTTTACTTCTTTTTTTATTTTATTTTTGTTTGTGCAGCTTCCTGGGGAAGATACACTCATGGTCTGGCAAATTTTATTTTTTTTTATTATTTTTTTTAACAATGATTTTCAGACTTTAAATTTTGTAAAACTTACAAAATTTATGTGATATATTTAGAGCTATGCATTTATTTTTAGTATTTTTATATAATAATTAGTGATTGATTTTTTTAAATATATATATATATATATATATATATCTAGAGCTATGCATTTATTTTTAGTATTTTTATATAATAATTAGTGATTGATTTTTTTTATATATATATATATATATATATCTAGAGCTATGCATTTATTTTTAGTATTTTTATATAATAATTAGTGATTGATTTTTTTTATATATATATATATATATATATCTAGAGCTATGCATTTATTTTTAGTATTTTATATATAATAATTAGTGATTGATTTTTTTTATAATATCTAAAAATCATAACACCTATAATTATATTAATACATTTTATATATGTCAGTTTTTATTGAATTTTTTTTTCTTGCAGGTTATTCAAAAAGATAACAAATACTCAAGTGATTGAAGCCCAAAAAACAACTATGTAAGAATTTTTTTCTTTATAATTTATTTTTTAATTTTTATATGATTACATTAGCATGTAAAGCCTATCAAAAATTTGTTGTCACAACACATTACAATAACAAAAATTTTTTAAAAAATATTTTCAACCATTTTAAATACTAAATAAAAAGTTATAAAAAAAATGCAACCACTATTTATACATTTCGATTTATTACATGCTATGAATCATATAAAATTAAAAATGGAATTATAAATAATTTTTTTTTGAGGTATTGATTTTTTTTTTTTTAAAATGACATTTTTTTAAAAAATAAAAATTATGCCTTTAATAGTGTGTAATAAAAAAATAAAAAAATATTTTAATTAAATATTAAATGAAATGATTAATAAAACAAAATGCAACCACTATTTGATACATTGGAGTTACATGCTATATAATCATATCAAAAATAAAAAGTAAATTATTAAAAATTTTTTTTGATGTATTGATTTTTTTTTTCTTTTGAAAAGTATATAAAAAAAAAAATAGTTGACTTTTCACATTGTTGTCACAACACAATCACAATAACAAAATAAAAAATATTTATAATTAAATATTAAATGAAATGATTATAAAAAAAATTGCAACAACTATTTATACATTTCGAGTTACAGCTAATGTAATCAATTAAAAATTAAAAATAAATTTATAAAAAAAAAATTCTACATAGTATTTTTTTGGGATTCAATCACTTTGAGTTATTGTTATCTTTTTGAAATAAACCTGTAAGAAAAAAAAATTCAACAAAAACTGACATATATAAAATGTATTTAATATAATTATAAGTGTAGATTTTAGATATTACAAAAAAATCAATCACCAATAATATATAAAATACTAAAAGTAATGCATAGCTCTAGATATATTATTATAATATAATATATATATTTAAAAAAATCAATCACTAATATTATTATAAAAAATACTAAAATTAAATGCATAGCCTCTAAATATTTCACATAAATTTTGTAAGTTTTACAAAATTTAAAGTCTGAAAATCATTGTTAAAAAAAAATAATAAAAAAAAATTAAAATTTGCCAGACCAGGGTGATATCTTCAAACCAGAAGCTCACAAACAAAAATAAATAAAAAAGAAGAAGTAAATAGAAATGCACGAAAAAATGCTATATGTAATTATAAATAATTTATATACCTTCCCAAGCGTGTATCTTCCCCAGAAGCTGAACAAACAAAATCAAAATAAAAAAGCGTAAACAATCAGAGGAGAGAACCTGTATCTTCCAAAAGAAGCAACACTTTCGTGAAGACCGTAAACAGATCAGAGGTAGCAACTTAAATTTTGTGTGAAGAACAAAGGGCAGCAGCGAGAAGTACTAATTTCAACACAGAACAGAGGCAAGCCTTGAAGATTTCAACACAGGTTCATCTCCTCCTCTTCCCTGCTTCTCTCTTCTCTTCTTCTCTCTCTCTATTCTCACTCATATCATCCGTATTTCAGATCTAAAAATTTGTGGATGGATACGCGCTCATCCGAAGTGTTCATGTGCGTAAAGACAAAAGAGAAAAGTAATGAACCAGTGCTGTAAAGACAAAAGACAAAAGAGAAAAGTGAAGATTGAACCCAGTGCTTTGCTATCCTTTGTTCTTTTGTCTTTACAGCACTGGTTCATTTACTTTTCTCTTTTGTCTTGACAGCACATTGAACCACTTCAGTGAGGCGTATCCATCCACAAATTTTTAATCTGAAATACGCGGATTGCACATATGAGCTGAGAAATAGAGAGAGAGAGAGAGAGCAGAGAAGATAGAGAAGAAGAGGGAAGAGAGAGGAGAGAACCTGTGGTTGAATCTCAAGGCTGTCTTCTGTTCGTGTTGAAAATCAGGTGACTCTCCCAACTGTCCCTTTGTTCTTCAACACAAATTTAAGTGCTGCCTTCTGATCTGTTTACGGTCTTTCAACGAAGGTCCTAGTATTGTATCTCTTTGTGTTAAGATATCAGTAGTGCCGATGCTCCTCTAATTTGTTTCGTTTTCGTTTTTTATTTTGTTTTTGTTGGATTGCGATCAGTGTGCTCCGTAGGAGAAATTGGCCGTCATCTGCCAACACACAATCTACACCCAGTTCCGCGGTAAAGGTCGACAACAATAAGAGTATTACAGTAATAACTTATAATTCTTACAGTATAGCATTTCTGCCCATGATTCTGGTGATTTACTATCTATTTTATTTATTGTGTAGATATTTTTGTTTAGTACAAGGGCCTATCACTGGGGAAAGAATACACTCGGAGTGGCTCTCTCTGCGTGCACAATTTCATGTCTTGTGTTTTATTAACTTTTTTTAAGGCTATTGTATAAACAATGATTTCAGACTTTAGACATTCTGTAAAAACTTAACAGAAATTATGTGACTATATTTTAGAGCTATCATTTATTTTTATATTTTATATGAATAATTAGTGAATTTGATTTTCTTTAAAATATATAGCATTAGAAGATATATAGACTCTAGAGAGCGTAGTGGCCTGTGATATTTTCCGAAGCAGATATAATTTGAGCCATAGAGATAACTTGCAGTGGATTATTTCTTTTGACCAATTTGAGAGTGAAATATCGTTTTAAGCGATCCATAACGACCGGAAAGGGTGACTGAAATTATTATTAATCTAGCCTAACGTATAAGAAATATGACATCGAATTCACGAGATTCTTTGATATAGAAATTATATGTCTCTATTATGCTTCTTCGTGGCAGGTTAGTACGAAGACCGACTTATAGACAGAAGTCAAATACCAAACTGGATTGAAGTCCAAAAACGAAGCGTCGTAATGATAAGACAATATTATCTGCTTGATATAATTATTTTTTAATTGTTATATTATTCATTACCATGTTAAACCCAAATGTATTAAATAGTTGTTCAATTTTTTTTTATTAATATTCATTTAATATTTAATTATTAAATATTTTTATTTTTATTGTGATGGGTTTGTGACAACAATGTCGAAGTCACTA